ACCTCTCTTCGGTCCAAATATTCTCCTCAACACCCTCTCAAATGGCCTCAGTCTATGTTCCTCCCTTAATGTCGGAGAGCAAGGTTCACAAGCAAAATTATAGTTTTGTATAGGCTAATTTTCATGTTCTTTGGACAGCAGACCAGAAGACAAAAGGTTCTGGACTGAATTGTAGCAAGGATTACCCGAGTCCAATCTCCTCTTAATTTCCTCCTATATCAGGTTTCGATTGCATAACAATCATTACTGCTCATAAAAGGTAAAGTTTTCCCCTGTGCTTAACTAATTAAGCACTGCGTCACGAGGCTATATGGGGAAGTTATGTATAGATCCACATGTTCTTAACCTCGGCACTAGCTGGAGGTGAGTTGTTAGCTTCACACCTGCCGCGTTACCCCGGGGATGAAGTCCATGGTACCCATTGGATAGGAGACTGGGTGGGCCCCAAAGCCGGTCTGAACGACGTGGAGAAGAGAAAATTCTTGACCCTAATGGGACCCCAAATACGACCTCCTCACGTCCAGCCCGTAGCCAGTCGCTATACTGACTGCGCTATCCCGGCTCCTCACGTCCAGTCTGTAGCCAGTCGCTATACTGACTGCGCTATCCCGGCTCCTCACGTCCAGCCTGTAGCCAGTCGCTATACCGACTGCGCTATCCCGGCTCCTCATTACTGCTCATAAAAAAGTAAATGTATTCCTGTAACAGGTCGCGGAGGCCCATAGGGTTGTGAGATGTTGAGGTTCTCACATTATCTAGACAATCGGTTCACAGATGGCGGCAAGGTTTTCAGCCTTATGCACCGGCCGCGCTTTACCCCCAGGAATATTCCTGGTACTCATTTCTGTTAGAGTCTGAGTCGACCGCAGTTCCATAGTGCGTCTAGAAGGATTACGTCAATTGAAAAAATTTACCTCATCGGGATTCAATCCCGCAACCTTCCGGCTTGTAGCCTCAACCAACTACGCTACCGCGTGCCCCCTTATTACTGTTCATGCTCTCTCTAATTACACGATGAATGTTTTATTTCGAGAGAGAAAGTCTCAAGAGCCCGTGACAGCAGCAGAGACAGGTATGCCGAGGAATGCCCACCATCGTCCGGGGCTACAGTTTAGTTCAATACTTGCTGGAGCGTCGAGACGCGAGAGACAGGAGGGGAGTAGTCCGCGTCGGCTGTGGAAGGAGGGTGCAGAAGGAAGGGGGGGAGGGGCGCCTGTTAGACAGCCGGAACAAGGCACGTCTCTAGTCAAACCAGAAAATGTATGGAACCGAAACATTGCTTCCAAAACCGTTTGTTGTATCTTCTGTTTTGACTTAGTGTCGTTAAATGTAGCTCGAGAATTTATATTTGCTTGTCTGTGGCTGACATGTCAGTGATAAGCAGAAGCTGACATCTGGCGGTCACTTCATCACTTGACAGTTTAATTGTGAACCGTCTCGACATCACACTCACTGCAACTGGATCTCTTGGCGTTGTGCATCTTCTGGTATCCTGCACAGAACACAGCGTTTCGGAAACATAATCTGCTTGCATTCTCAAGGAAGTGGTAGCTAGCCACACGAAACCATTTGAAACGGCTGATTTCAGAACACTGAAGAACCATAATCAGTGAACTGAATATATATAATAACATCCTTACAATAACAATTGTTAAGATATCCATGGTGACGTGGAAATGAGGCAGAAAAGGAAGTGAAAATTTGACTATAAAACAAAAGCAGCCGCGTAGACATTGACAGTGACGTCATGGTATGTATACTGTGCTAAAACAGTCCGTGTAATGTACAGATACTCAGGAGCAATGATACACATTCTCTCAGGGTTACTTTATGACTGGCGTCTTGGAGACAAGCCCCTTGAGACTCGCGATCAGAATTTCTTTTTCAACTGAACACATGCTTTCACAGTCCTTACGTAACAGCCTCTCTAACGAGAGGATGGGTCTGTCGTTTACAATTGCTACTGGTCCTTGCCAGCGTGGTTATTCTCAGGTCTGAGTCCCGCGGTATTCATGATCACACTCTACTGTCTCAGATTCGAGATCTCCCCAACCAGGAGTGCCAGGTCCCCGTATTTATATCCCCAGTGACATGGTGACCCAGTTATACCCTCAGTCACTGGGTTCCCTTTCCGTTGGCCCCTTAAACTAGTAGGGTTCATTCATTCATTCATTCATTATTGGAGGGGGTGGATTTCCCCATGCACTTAGACCAGTTATTGGTCCATTGTGCGTCCCCCTTTAATTTCTACTGTCGCCATACTCTTCCAGTACTGGTGCTCGCTACCAGCCCCATTCTGCCAGCGAGGTCGGCCCTCTTCTGGCAGTGGTACCTGATACTTAGCCCCCACTAGCAGGGTTACGATAGAGGTATTCGAACCCGCCTCCACACGAGAAAGGACCTGGACCGGTAGACACTTTCTGTGTGAAGAGGCAGAGAAACGACGGCCTGAGCTTCGGCACAGCCTTAAGAATTCAGACATTAGGAGACAACTGAATATACAATAAGCATAAAATTAAATACAGAGATATCATCTAAATTTGACAAACCATCTGCGCAGAATGGCCGATCGCAGACTACCGAAACAGATCATGCAGTATGAATTAAATGACTCCGAGACAGAAGAAGTTGGATATGATGGAAGATTATGTGAGGCCGGAACAGGCTTATTTGTCTATAATATGGAGTGGGAAAGAGGATCTGACTTTGAAGTAGGAGAAATAAAGGTAAGTTTCACAAGAAGAAGGGTCGCGCCATAGCTCAAGCGGTTAGTCGTTGGCTTCCCACCGCGACGGCCCGGGTTCGATCCCGGGTCTGGTCAAGTGGGATTTGTGGTGGACAAAGTGGCGCTGGGACGGGTTTTCTCCGAGTACTTCAGTTTCCTCTGCCAATCTTCATTCCATCAAATTCTCCATCATCATAATCACCCGGGGCACGCTACAATAGGCCAATCAGTGGCCGCCGTGCCGAGTGGCCCCAGCTGGACTCCACCCCTAAGCGAATTAAAAAAAAAATTAATTCTCAAGAAGAATTCTGCTCCGGTAAGTCAGTTAACGTACTTACACTCCGCCGGGAAGTTACTCTCGTCTCCGGGTTGCGGCTGCTGCAGGAGAGGACAAAGGAGCAAAGAAAAGGTAGTAACGTTATTAGGGGGGAGAGATCTCGTAACTCCTTAAAGACAAAGGAAATCAGGCCATGTCGTGACACCGAAACGTCCATACGGTACCTCATGACTGCCAGCCGTGAACCCAAGTGCCTGCCCTCGACTAGACTGTACAACAGTTGCTCCGGTTAATGACAAGTTAGGAAATGTATGCAGAGCGTAACAATTCCGGCGCATTCGCTCCATTATGTCCAATTATCTCGAAAAGTATAAATCTCGCATGAAAGTGCAATGCACATAGAAATGCGTGTCCCTTGAGTCTGCGCAACTTCTGCTACGAACATGCAGCGAGTTACAGTAGAGATGCATGCAGAAATGCACGTGGGTCTGTGTGTAGGGCCCGTTGCAAGTCGAAACGGGGGAGATCGACACAGTTCAGTAAACCTAACCTAAATAATTACGTGTATATGTCTCCGTCACCAATAATAATGGGTTCTGGATTAGATGATTGTATTTATTAACGCTTTCATTTATAATAACCCTTAATTAGCACCAATTACCACAGCTCACAATCAATGGCTGCCTAAGACTCGCTCCATTCCTTACTGGACTACGAGCGTCTTCTCTTCTACCGTGACTGAATTCGTTCAGATTTATGAATCACTTGTGAATGACTTCATTCTTGCATCTCCGTTCTACTGCGACTGCTTAGCACTATGACTGATATACGAATGAATGGATCTCAGAGTAAGAGTCATTCTTACTTCACGACCGCCAATCAGTTCTTCTTGGCGATAAACCCCTTGAGACTCAAGGCCAGCAATTTTATTTTCCAACTGAACACTTGCGGTTATAGTCCTTATGTAATATCCTCTCTGAGGAGAAGACGGGTCTGTCGTTAAAAATTGCTACTGGTCCTCGCCAGCACAGTCATTCTCAGGCCCGAGTCCCACGGGACTCATGACCAAATTTTACTGCCTCAGATTCGAGATTCCTCCAACCTGGAGGTCCATGTCCCCATATTTATATCCCCCAGGAACAGGAGGGCCCGGTTGTACCTCAAGGCACTGGGTTTGACAATGAATTAATCTTATCTGAAAGGCCTCTTATATAGCGTTGCGGTATCCTAGATGTTTGTTGCCTGCTCGAATGCGTTGAAATGTTTGTCGGGTCATGAATCTGACCACTCACCCCTAACTAGTGTGGAGGTCAAGAAAACTTACCTCCATGGCGTAGTGTTTAGTTAGTTAAGCACAAGGACAACTTTAATTTACGGCTTCACAACCCTTTTGTATGTCCGTCCTATCGTAATTCAGCTCTTTCTTATTTAATTTCCTTCAAATTACAAAAATTCTACACCCCTTTTCCCCCATCCCTTCATCACCAAAGGCAAAAATATTTCACGTATCCCTGTTAATAGTAGAAGATACGTAGGATTTAAGGTTCTCACAGCGGTTTATGAAGATTTCTGTATTCTAGGATATAAAAACGTGTAGCCCGTTTGTAAGTCAACCGACGTTTCGGATGAAAATTTATCGCCCGTCTTAAAGGTAGAATAAGCCGAGAAAGAAACCAACGCAAAATCAGGTGGCAAACAGAGCTTCTTCGACCCTTAAGATTGAGGCGACATGTGCCTCTGAAACGTCGGTTTATTTTTCAAAAGGACTACACGGCGTTATACCCTAGAAGATAGAACTCTTCAGTTAACGAATTCGTGTCAGTGAAGAAGGGAGGAGACTGGGCCACAATATCCCCCCTCCGTCCTGACAGTCTGTATGAGGGCAAGACAGGAGTTAGGTGCTCATAAGGCGATATTCTGCGGATAAAACAATGCGGGGACCAGACGGCCGTGCGGATTTTGAGAGCCCGCACTCACTTGCCTCCAGTAACGCGACGACTCACGTAGTGGCTGCTTCCTGCCAGCTGACTGGGGGCTCGTTGCGCCTGCTCCCGGCCGTCACTCGCGCGCTGTGAGGCCGACTGTGTGGTGGGTCGGCCAGTCTCTGATCGGTTCGTATGTCTCTCTCAGCCGCTATGGAACATCAGCAAACGACAGAAGAGGCCGGCGGTGGAACACCTGGAGCCCCTCTGCCTCCGCCCTCACCTCTCTCAGGATGCTACCTGCTTATCGTCATCGGAGAGCCGCATTCTCAGGAGCACAAGGAGATCATCCTGCAGAGAATCGCTAAAGGTAGGACGACCACCCTTTGAGGGATTCAGCCAATGAAACGAAGCTGAGGGTATCTGTGTTCCGGAAGTGGAGCTTTTTGTCCCGAGTTCGAGCCTGTGGTTAGGTTTTGTGCGCTTCAGCATTCCCCCTCTGTACGACTTCGTGCCTTATGCGGCACCATTCGTAACCCTTCCACTGTTGAAATCCGTAATAATTAAGGCCGAACGTGACATGAAGTTCAAATTGGTTGCCAGTGTTCTATTTATAGAAGTACTTTCCTAAAAACGAACAGAGAATTGGGTTCGATTCCCGGGGGAGGAGGAAACTGTTCCCCTTTTACCCGAGTTCATACCGGTACTTATTTCACCTGTTTTAAAGTTGCCGGAGCGTGGTGCTCACCATTTACCTAATGCCGAAGGTTAGGAAAGACTGGAAGAGAGCTTGCACAAGATGGCTGGACCCCGCAGTGGGTTGTGATGACTACAGTTCTGCAGTATAGTTTAAATTTTCTGAAATGTTCGGAGAGAATGTTGCAGAAAGAAAACATGCCTTATTGCGTGTATTAGTGAATTACGCCTCCAGGAGAAATTTCGGCGCCCTGACCTCTGCCAGCCCGGCCCGGGCGAAGGCAGGAATCCGTATATTTGATAAGCGGCTCGTAGACGCGTCATGCAAGTTGCCTCTAATGATAGGATATCCCGTTGGTCAGAGCGTTCGCCACTCGTAGGGCGGTGAACGGCTTCATCTGGCATCCGAGCACGGCAAGGGCTTGCTAATTTATCAACCGTGCGGAGAAATCAGGCTCGTATCGATCGCGAGGCCTTCTACATGGAAGGCCAGCCGTTTACACTAGGCAATGCTATCCCTGCAACAGACCGTGGAGGCCCATAGGGTTGTGAGATTTCGAGGCTCCCACATTTTCCAGACAATAGGTTCACAGATGGCGGTGAAGTCAGTCTCACGCGCCGGCTGCCCTTTACCCCCAAGGAAGGTTCCTGGTACTCATTTCTGTTAAGAGGCTGAGTCGACCCCAGGGCCATAGTGCGGCTGGAAGGATTAGGTGAACTGAAAAATCTTTTAGTTTCTTCGAGTGGGGTGAGACTGAGCCCATTTGGTACATCGGCCACTATTTGACCTACCACGCCAGCCCCGGATGATAGATAATGAATGTGGAGCAGTCGGTGGAATGAGAATTGGCAGGGGAAACCGAAGTTTTTGAAGAAAACCTGCCCCAGTGCCATTTTGTCAACCATAAATAACACATAAACTGACCTGGGTTCGAACCCGGGGGGAAGCCGGCGACTAACCTTCTGAGCTTCGGCGCCGTTTCCTTTACCATCAGCGTAGTTGCTTTAGTGTCTTCGAAGCTCGAACCCCGGACCTGTAGAGAAACGTAACGATGTATTTCATAAAACAAATTGTGTTGCTTATTCCTAGGGTCACTCTATTTTGATGGGAGACTTAAGGAGACGCGAAGTATGTTAGGGCAGGGGTTCTCAAACTGTATGATACTGCGCCCCTCATCCCCTGAAACAGGCTGTACGGTGGCATAAGGAACATAAATAACTACACAGCCTCTACAGTAACGTTCTTATGCAGTCACGTTACTGTTTCTGGCGTTATATGACGCGAATTGTTAACACACGAAATACAAAATGGCGTACAGTACGAATGAGGCTTCACCCAACGTCAGTTACAGAAGGAAACGCGAATCCTACTTCAATTATAGTGAACAAAAACGAAGCCTGGATGAAAGGTTTATCGCCCCCAAATAAATTTCTTGACCACGTAAGCATTTGTTCTATCCTTCCTGTCGCCGCTGCTGGAATCTCCTTTCAGGCCGAACACCAAACGTTATATCGATTTTCTAGGTTGTGATGCCGTGTAGTTTGGTATATTGGTACAAATATTCCAGAAGAACCTGCCGCTTTCTTCTTCAGAGCAGTAAGAACAGAGCGGTACGGAGATGCGTATATGCGAGAGGAGACAGGTACCGAGGCTGTGAGACAGCCTGGAGGAAACAGGGAACCTGAAAAGGGCAAGGAGTTGGGAAGAGCAAGAAAAGGAAAATGGATAGCGCAGGGAAAATTATTTCCCCACCCCTTTCGTCCTACTACGTTTATCCCCCATTTCTCTCTTCCTACATTTATTCATTTTCAGATTACTTTTCTCATTTTGAAAAAAAAAAGTGTAGGCTTATGAGATCAACTTGTTGTCTGTTTGTGTATCTCCCTCGTATCAATACCTGAACCATTTTTTATGAAACTTGGTAAGTATATCATGGCATCTGAACCCATCTCAACGGCGTACTTCATAAATCCTTCCCATCAGTCTGTGTGCCTCTATATGTATACCCCTACCGTTGCTGGGCAAGGGCTCAGTAAACGCGTTGCCACGGCAACAAATACACATACAACAATAGAATAATTGTTGGACGCGCCGTTTTCTATGTGGTCCGTGTCATATCAAAGGAAAGTAGGAACTGAGTTCTTCTCAGAGCCTCTTGTTCTTTATTCATTCTATTTTTCATGCTATAGGTACTGTCCCCCCCCCCCCTTAGGCTACATAACTCCTTTCCACATTCATATATGTACTTTAGAAAGAGCCCTTTGCAGGGGATCAGCTCTAATCAAGATACCTTCTCTACATCACGTATTATTTTCTCACACCGTGCCTTAGGCTTCTGCCTGGAACAATGAAGCATCATATTCCTTTGTAACATTGGTGCCTATCCACGAGCTAGCGGCACGGGGTCACAACCAGCAAACCATAACCAAGCCTTCACCGCTGTCAGAACCTGTTCACGCGTTCCCCTGCATTCTGCCTTTCAAGGACTTGGAATTGAGGCAACACATGAGCAAGGAGGCTGTCTGGAATATCTGAAGAGTTAAGCTAAAGTTTTCCGCAAAAGCTCGGATGAGAGGTCAAGTGAATTGCATTGGCGAGGTTCCGGTTTCGAGTCTCGACTCCGGGAATCAATATCCTGAGGTTTCTCTTGATTTTCCAGTTCTTTCAGCCAAGTAATGGGTTAATTAGCATTAAAATAGATCCATGATTACTTCCTCCTGCAAGGTTAACGTACTGCGCAAAATACAGGCCATGCTACATGTTTCAAAAGAAACTTGTTGAAGTTAACTTCTTCAGTAGTTCCTACAGACAGTCCCTGGCTCCTCTAGATCGGGGGCTGCGTGGACCTTACGGCCTGTCTGGGCGAAAGTGATAATAGAATAATCTCTGCGTTTGTCGGGAATCGAACTCCAATTCGCCAATCGTTAAGACCGTAGCCCAGTCACTTTACTCCCTGAGCTGTGGCGCCAAATGAAAGAGCAGACAGCAGTGTTCACTGTGCCATGAACGCACTGGGTTCAGGACAGCTCTGTCGGTATAGCGATGGGCCACGTGCTGGACGGCCGGAATTCGATTCCTAGCAGAGGTAAGATTTCTCTTTTCTCCACAACGTCCAGACTAGTTCTAGGGGCCATCCAGCCTCCTATCCAATAGTTATCGGGAGTAAAAACGCCGGGGCGTGAAGCTGACCACTCACCTCCATTTAGTGCCGACGTCAAGAATGGTGGAGCTATACCTCCACTCCTCAATGTGTCTTCATGGCTTAGTGCTTAATCAATTAAGCACATGGATAGCTGTATCCTTTACCAACGCAAAGGATGTGGTTCCATGCTCGGGTCAATGACTGAGTACGCTAACGTTAAATTAATTTTCTTCGACACTTGTAATCCTATCGCTCCAAGCTGTTGAGAGGCTTTCACAGGAATAAGATATCAAGAGACAGAGCCTACTGACGGGTATACAATAAGAACACAAAGAAGCAGATATCTGATGCCCCTTCACCAGCTGGGCATCGCCCTGTTGTCCTGCAGCCTGCAGTGCTCTCATTAGCTCGGAGGGTACAGCAGTTAGAAGGATTCGCTCCTCCCAGCCAACGTAAGGCGACATCTTAACAAGCTGATAGTAGCCCCTCAACATATGTCGATCATACACGCGCTTCTGTCACGCGGCAAATGGTTTCTATTGGCCTATGTTCAAGAACAGTCTTAACAACTTTCTGCGAAGGCATCTTCTTCACTGTGGGTCTTATTGAAGTCTTAACGGCTACATATTCAAGAGTTAAATTTCCTTTCCGGTAACAGAGCAAACTTAAATTCTGGAAGAGAGGCACAGCGGGTCAGCAGCTCCTGTGGAAAGGCCGCAGTTCTCCCGTAACAAATTAGAATTGAATATTCAACCGGAACACACTCTGCTACCGTCACGATGACTACAGCATCACGGCGGGAAACCTTACACGTGTCTCTACTATCGGTACGCTGACGGTATGCGGCCCGCTAGTTATTTTTGTGTGGCCCATGTCAATATCTTTCAATTTCCAAAATAAACCCACATGATAACATTTTCCTCGTCTTGTGAATGTCGACCTGCATGAAAGTACTGTCAGTCGTGAAAGGTACAGTTGTCCCTGTACAACTCACTATAGATGTGTGAGGGGTAGATATAGAGTTCGATGTAGTCTTAAACTCGGAATTAAATGGTGAGTGGTAAGCTTCACACCCAAGCCGCTAGATCGCCGGGGAAATTTCTCACGTTACAAAGTGGGTAAGAGGTTGCGTGGACCACAGAGCCCATCTGGATGTTATGGAGAAGAAGAAATTTACCTGTGTCTGCAAGGAACCGAACCCCTATGTCTCTGCTGTGCAGTCCCGTAGCTCATCGCTCTACCAATTGAGCTATAAAATATATAACACCCCGAATCGCTGTTCACTAACCGCTGAAACTCTTTACCACTTCTTATTTCTACTATCAATATAAATGTAGGTATATTTACTCTTCTCAAAGACAGCGTCCGTTTATAGGGTTCTTGCCGAGACTGGGTGTTTCTGTTTATTTATTGGGCACTTACATTCTTAACTGCAAATAACTAGGACAGTCTCACTGAGTTACACACTCCAGAGATCACTGCAACTACAGCATGCATAAAGTCTTCTCAGTCTTCACTAGCGGTTGCTTAGTAAGCGTTCCTAACGGCGGGCGTTCCCCTTTCCTCTGTATTCCCCAACTGTCCCCGGCCTCAGCTACCAGCTTCTCATTCCTCACAACTCAAAGTCAAAGTCACATTGCAGCTCACGGTCAGTCAGTCAGTCAGTAAGTCTTGGTGTCGAGCCCCATTTGCGGGTGATGTCCATATATTTATTACTGTTTGACAGTTACGGTTCTGTCTTTGTGGAACACCCTCTCGTCATGCTGCTGATCCTTGCCAGCGCAGTCTTTCTCGGGCCCGAGTCCCTTGGGACTCGCGACCATATTTTACTGCGTCAGATTTGAGACTTCCCTTTTCGTCGCCTCCTACGACTCGCACGGTCGAGGTGGAGGTATTCGACACCGCCTCCACACGGCTTACTGCTCCTCTACTAATTGCTGAATTACTAGTCTTCGTTATATAGCCCCGACACGGACCGCACATGAAACTTTTCTTTTATTACTGCGTTTCTTTGGAAACGTGTCAACAGAGCTGTCCCCTAGCAACAGCTTTTGTTCTGTTGCCTATTTGTACAGCCGTTACTTAGCAATGGGTTTACATGTCACAATATGTTGGAGTTAAATACATTTATTTGAACTTTGTAGGAGTAGCGCCGATCACAGTGATCGCGCGGTCTAAGGCATGAAATGTCTTCATCCGCTCTAATACTGGGGTTGTGGGTTCAAATCCCACTCGCGGCATGGGTGTTTTCCTTTATTCTGTATTTGTGTTGTCCTGTAAATGTAGCGGCTTTGCGTCGGGCTGATCCCCCGTCCAAAGACTGTCTAAGATTAAGAAACTTAAGTGAAACGAAGCGTTTCACGGATGCCCTCTGCTCCAGGTGGGAGCAACAGGAACAGACAGATATAGATATAGGTGCGTGTGCTTCACAGGGCAGGTGTTTCTGTCCGTATACTGTGAAACCCGTATGGGGGTACCTGACGTACAGTAGATATCAGCAGTTTTTGAAGCAGAACAGCTCTGGTCGAGATTGGACGGGCACATTTTTCAAAAGAATGGATGACTGTTCTAGTAGGCCATTTTTTTTTTTTTTGCGAAAGAGGATGAATGTTTTATGTTTTCGAAATATCAAGTGCAGTTTCCTTCTGTGTGGAACACTTCACGACGCTCTTAGTCCCAATATCACTACGTAGATGAATTGGAAAGGATATGGAAGGATCTGGTAGTGTCCTAATAGAAGTATAATCCCGGCATTTTTTAAGTGGCTGAGAGAGACCGCGAAAATTTCAAGTGAGAACATTCGGTGCGGAAACCGAAATTCGAACCACATACGTCCAGTATACAATTGTACATCAAGCCACTCGATTGTATGGTTTGAAACGAATCGTTCT